CATTTTTCCCCCTTTTCCTTAGCTGTGCTACTCCCTTTTATTCTATTGGCTTTTGAAAGCCAATAGAATAGACTCTCTTGAATACAGTCTAATTCTATTGGCTTTCAAAAGCCAATAGGAATTGTCCAGGCTGTCTCTGCCCTGCTGAGCCGCCAAAAGTCCCATTCTGCAAACGGTGCTGCACCAGTTGAGTAGTCCTCGACTTATGACCGGTTGGGGGTCGCGGCATTAAAAAGGTTAAGAACCACTGACTTACAAGATGTTTCTCTCCTGGTCAGAATCAATGCACCCTGTGAGTTTGTTCCAAAACAAACTATTTTATGTCTCTATCTCATATAAAATATAAATTGAGGAAGTACAGAAGTGTTCTTTTCCTGTGGAAGCCCTATATTATGAAATACTTTATCCCTAGATGTACTAGATGCTCCCACTTGTTTGCATTTGGCAAAACAGCTAAGATAATCCTATTGCAATAGGCTTTTGGCACAGATGATTCACCTGGCCTGTACAGTTAGTCCTTGAGCTGGTATGCTTTTTTTTTTTTTTTTCCATTGCTACTGGGGAAAGGACTAGAGGAATGAATCTCTCATGGCTGCTTTTGTTGCTTCTTTCATTGCTGTTACTTTGATGACAGGAATACTGTAGTTATCTTGTAAGTACTTTAAAATATGATTTTTCATTATAATACCGTATATTCCGGCGTATAAGACGACTGGGCGTATAAGACGACCCCCAACTTTTCCAGTTAAAATATAGAGTTTGGGCTATACTCGCCGTATAAGACTACCCCTCTTTCAACGCACACCAAATAAAAATTAAAAAACATCAGATTTGATTTCAATATGGTAATTTTAATTCAAATGCTTATGGCATAAAGGTACTTAGCAGGAAAACTGTCACTTATAAACATAAGGCTGTTTGTCATCAAACATGTAAACATAAAACAGTGCAAGTGATTAAACTTTTCCTAATTCACTCTAAAGCTGAAAGGAAGGATCAGACAATAAACCCATGGGAGCTGCCATGCTATTTGTTTTCTAAGCTGTCAACCAAACTGGAACTGATGATGATAGGAGGAAGATAACAAACAATAGAGAGAGCAAGTGCCGGGCAAGTCCCTGGCGAGTCAGCAACGCCCATCATAACTGCAAGCTATTTTTATAGGTTTTGCTGGCATGATACTTTCCCTTTAAAAGCCTTTAAAATCATCCTGTTCATCATCTGATATCATAAAAATATCAATGACATCTTGTGATACATTTGCAAGGCAGTCATCGTATGGATCGAATTCCGTATCAGATGGTGTGGTCTCAGCTTCGGCTTCCTCTTCATCTTGCCACAAGTAGTCGTCCTCCATACCATCTAATGAATTTGATATGCCACACTTCTTGAAAGACTTGATTATTGTTTCTGCATCAATATCATTCCAGGCTTTTATGACAAACTTGCACAAAACATCCAATTGTGGAGCACGCATGTTTCCTCCTTTTGTGAATGACTTTTCGCCACTAACCATCCATTCATTCCACTGTTCTCGAATGCGATCTTTAACTGGCTTGTTTAGGCATACATCCAGTGGCTGTACTAACGATGTTAATCCTGCAGGAATAACTGCCACATCTGTGTTTAGTCTTGCAAGCTTTTGCTTGGTGCTGGGAGTTAAATGAGCCCTGAACATATCCCACACCAGTAGACTACGTTTTTGAATAAGTCCACCTGGTCGCCTGCTCCATACATTATCAAGCCATAGCTCTACCCCTTCTTCATCCAGCCAGCCTTTTTCATTCACATGTACAAAACAACCAACAGGGAACTTGAGTTTCGGCATTGTTTTTCTTTTAAAAATAATCATTGGTCTCAGTTTGGCACCATCATCTGTGCATCCTAGTACCACTGTAAAACTGGACTTCTCATGTCCTGTTGTTTTAATTAAAATTGTTTTTTCACCTTTCTGATGGACAGTTTTATTTCCAACCATATCAAAATTCATTGGAGTTTCATCCATATTTCCAATACTACTTAATGCATAGCCATGTTTAATGCGCTGTTGTATTATGTATTGATGGAAACTAATTACTTTGCTATCAAGATCTGCAGGTAATTTTTGTGCAATTTTCGTCTTTTGCCTCAGTACCATATTATGCCTTTCCAAGAATCTAGTACACCAGGATGCAGTGGCCTTAAATCTGTTGCTGTGATCTGGGTTAGATTTTGCCCACTGAAGTGCAAACAAACGTATTTTATTTCGTGTCACTACATAACCGTTTTGGCGATGCTCATTCACCATGTCTGCTACATGTTTTTCAATTTCTGGCCAATGTGGGGTGCCTCTTCTTAATGCACACTTACCCCTTGGCATACTCTTTAATGCTTTTTCATTTGCCTTCCAGTCCCGAACCATCTTTTCTGTTACTCCATATTGTCTTGCAGCAGCGCAGTTATTATGTTCCATGGCAAAGTTTACAACTTTAAGTTTGAAACTGGCTTCATATTTCCTTCTTCTTGCTGGTGGAGCCATGATAGGGTCTTGACTATTGGACATTTGTATACTGTACTGTATGTATTGGTGCTGTACTGTATGAACTGGTACAGATACTGGTGCTGTACTGTATGTACCCAGTATACAACAACCAGCCAATCACAGCAAGCGATGAACCTTAGCTGGTTGTTGTATACAAAGCCTGCTTGGATTGGGTGGATCAGCTCTCCCTGCCTGCCCAACCCTTCCTGTCATCGTATAGGCCAGGGGTAGGCAACCTTGGCTCTTTTATGACTCATGGACTTCAACTTCCAGAATTCCTGAGCCAGCTATGCTGGCTCAGGAATTCTGGGAGTTGAAGTCCATGAGTCATAAAAGAGCCAAGGTTGCCTACTCCTGTAGAGGCCCTAGGGAAAAAATGGACAAGCTAATTCCATGAGGGAGGGGGAAAGGGAGCACAGTTTCTGAGTTCTCATTGGCCACCTGTAAGTCCAAATGAGTAGCTCAGGGTGTGTGAGTGCACATGTAGGCATGCGTGTGACTCCCTGGGTCCCTTCCATTGCCCTCCCCCCAGTAGCAAGCTTTGGCTTGGAGCAAACAGGCTGCACACAGGGATCTCCTCCTCTCAGTCTTCCACCCTGCGAATACTCCACAGCCTCTCCAAGCTGAGTGAGCAGAAAGCCTGCCTGTTTGTCAAAGGCTCTGCCTTGTCAATCGCACACACACCTTGATGAAAATTGCCCTGCCTGCAAAAGGACTTCTCAGCAGTTTTTTTAAAGCAACACTACCAAGAATGAAATTGGCGACAGCCAGAATGTTTAGGGAAGAAGGAAAGGAAGCAGTTAATAAACCGAGTAAGAAAGGCATTCGCCCTTCGAAAACTTGCATTTCCACAAATGTGATAAGTTGCCCCCTTTTCAGGTAATGGGGGGGGAGTAAATGCTTTCCTTTTAATTTGTTATTAAAACTCAGTGCACTACAGTACTTATAGATGGGAGCCAGATTGACCAGCCAGGATCTGTCATAAATAACCCCACAAATGCACCATGCAAGTTTATTTAGGCAGGGGGGGGAGAAACTGCTTGCATAAGCTCGGGCAAAAGGATTGTGTAGCTGTTTTCTGTCCCCACTCCATTCCTGCTTCTTAACTCCGAGAGTAATTTAGCTGACACCCCTCCCCTTCCAGACCCATAAGCTCCGCCTCCCCCAAGCTACTCTCACCGGCAGTGAGAGGTAAACGCTGAAAAGCTTGCATGAAGAAGCACTGACAAGTGCCTCGAATGGACGCAGATGCTTAGGTTTGTTTTCATTATATAAAAAAACCACCCTACAATTCTTTTCCCCCCTTCCCCATTACATGGGCCATCCCTTTCTACTTCCTTTGAATGAATTAATCAGGGGATGGCCACTACCAATCCGCAGTTCTGGAGGGGTGGGCAAGGAATTGGGATGCAAAAGGGAGGGAAGAAGAGAGGAGACGGTTTGCAATGTAGCATTATAGAATGGGGATTAAACCTCCAGGAAATCTTACCGTCACAACAGCCAGATAATGCCTATCGTACTCTCAGAGATATCTTTAGTTGATCGGCTGGTTTTAATAATAACCCTAGGACTCTTTTTGAGTGAGAGAGAGGGGGGGGGAAGAGAAAACTTGCTGAGTAATATTTTTCCGGCGTATAAGACGACCCCCCACTTTTGCGAAGATTTTAAGTGTTTAGAAAGTCGTCTTATACGCCGGAATATACGGTACTCTGCTTTTTGGTAAGTATTTTATAAACTACTATGCTTGTTTGTAAGGAGTTACAAAAAATTAAGTGTTTTCATTACTGTGCTTGTTTGGTTTCACCTTAGAATTGCTTGCAGAAATACTGGCCAGTATCTACAGAAAGCAAAGTAATACTGTAAAGTTCCTTTGCATTCTACACTACTGTGTTTGTTTATTTTTGCTTTGAGGATTAATATGTACTACTGTAGATTGCCTGTAGAACAAAAATGAGGCCAATTCATGTTACGACAGTTTTGACTTACAACCCTAAGAGTCGACTGCATTAGGGATATACTTTTAGGACTACCTGTATTTAGAAGTGTATTGTTTTTACTATCTCGTGTCCTTATTTGATCTTATTTTTCTTCTGTTAGAAAAAGGTAGTGAATATATCATATGCTGTAATTAATTAATTAATTAATTTCAAACTGGCTAACAAATATAGTTGCTCTGAATATACAGGAATCAAATGATTATAAGAACAAGTTGGCAATAATTCTTACGGCCAAGAAAGCATTTTTTCTTAGTATCAAAATCTTACAAATCGTTGATAATCTGAAAGCAATGCAACAATTACAAGCTATGTAATTCAAACCACCTGAGATTATTTGTACTTATATATTTATTGTATATTCTTTCCACTCATTTTTATTTCCTAACTTTATTAATTCTGCTCATTACTATATGGCTTATGATATATACTAATGAAATTTTCAATTTTAACAACAGGATTTTATTTTACTTGCAGAAACATACCTCAGGCCCTGTGATATGCAAAAGTCCAGAAACAGCAGCTGCAACTGAGTCATAACCTGCTTGTTGAAATTTTGGACCAGTCTGACCATAGCCTTAAAAATTGCAAAAGAGAGAGAGGGGGGGGGAGAGAGAGAAGGTAAACATGCTACCCGTAGCAGTGAACTCTGCGGCAACTAAATAGAAGCATTATGCTATCTCAGTTATAAATATTCAAGCTATATAGATCACATGCTTTTTCTTCTGTATTAATCAGAACAGAATGTACACTAGATCTGTATATAATTTCATCTGTAAAGCAGTCAGCAAACACAGCAAAATAGCATAAGAATTAGCAACAGGTAAAGTCTAAGGCAGGGGTGTCAAACTGCCGGCCCATGGGCCGAATGCATCTCAAGGAAACCGCACCCACCCCACTGCCGGCAATGGAGAAAGAGCTCCGATATGTCACGCAACATCATGTGACGTCATGAGTTCGACATGTCTGGTGTAAGGTATCTGAAAATTGTGTAAATTCCACTACTAAATTCCAACAGCTGGCTTTTAATTTTTTTTATGGTCACTGAATTAATGCACAACACAAGCTCATATAACAATTACATTTATTTGCCTAGACAAATTGATCATACCACAACTTTACTCTAAAAAATGAAAACATAGCAAATTTTTTACTGAATTGGAAGTATAGTGCACATTAGCACTATTCCTTGCTTCAGATAACATCAGATGACTGTTCAATAAACTGCAAAAGAGGGTTCCTTGTGACTTATCAATGCCTGGCTTCTTGGCTGAAGTCAGATGTCAATTCTCTAGATATAAGGAATGACCTCAGCATTATTTCTCCAGACAAGGCTGATTTATACAACTCCTAAGGCTTTGCCTTATTCTCCAACCCTCCAAAGGACTTGTGACACTCTCTTCAATTTCATCTTCTGTGGAACTTCATATGCCATTGTTTTAGTTATGAACTTTGCTAAATGTGTATGTCTTTGCAAATACACAAAAAAAATCAGTACTAAGAAATTAGCACATCTTAATTGTAGAATCAATCAAATAAATACATTTATTTAATGAACTTATATTTCAATCCACTTTTCATTTTAAAATACTCTCAAAAACACAGTATGAGCAGACTTCCTGTGAATATGGCCAACAACTCACATGGCCAAAGAGAATTTCTCTTTGGACTGTCATTTTTTTCTACTTACTTACAGAAGGGACAGGCTTTTCTTTTCTTTACATGACTCTCCTGGGCTAGGGAGAGTCCTACAATCATCTCACAAGATCCTCCCTCTGCAAGTAGCTTCAGGAGCTATACTTCGAAGCAGTTGGTGAGCCAAAACCTGGTGGGGGGGAGGCTGTAATCACTTGTCATTGGAAAAACAGCCACTTTGGAATTTATTTTTCAAATGTACAATAAGTTGTGCCTGTCTTTTCTTAATCAACTTACGAGACTATTATCTTTACTAGGTAAAAGAGGCTCTCTTTAATCACAGCCTATTACTCCTTTTTGAAGCTCTGTGCCATTTTTGAGATTTCTTGATTGTTAAACGACAAGGAAAAGGGTTGCTGGATGCAAGCTAAAATGAGGAAGTGTGAAGTATTTTTTCTTCTTAAATTTGATGGAGAAGTATACAGATAGAAAGTAGCAATTCATTTTCATTATCTCTATAATGTGTAGCTCTGGGTTGCTTTGTTGTGGGTGGTTGAAATTCTCTGATTTTTATGAACACTGATTGGTCAAATAATAATAATAAATAAATGAATAAAAATATATTTTTGACCATAAAGATGTTTAAACCTGAGATCGAGTTTATAATTAGGGAAGCCTTTGAAAAGTCTCTACAGAAAAAAAGTGATTTGTAAACTGAATTGATATTAAGGATAAAAATGATATAGATGATATTTTAAAAAGCAAGACGTGTAATTTGGTGTACAAAATTATCAACCTACTCAGACAACTTTACAAATATCTGACAATGCAAATGACTCAATTGCAACTTTGAAATACAAATCTGACACCAACTATTTTCTGTAACTTTTGTTAGGAAATAAAAATGTATCTATACAATTCCTGAAAGCATAATAAAAATGGAATTCTCGGTTGCTTCTCAGGTCAGCCCTGATACAGAGGCATCAGACACTGATTTTGCTTATTATCAGAAATATCAAAGAACATTTGGTTTCTAGTAACCCTGAAAAAGAACAGCTATACTGAAATCCACTGCTGCATGTCAAGCAAGTTGGCTCTTCAGCAGCAAAGGAATTTGGTTCATCTCCCTCTGCCAATATACATTACCAGATGTACTCTTTCATTTAAAGCTGAAAAGGAACAAATCAATACAACGAACAAAAGCAGCTGAATATGAATAATAAAGTTTGATCAACTTAATTCCCATGCTGTCTTGTTTGCACATAGTTTATTTAAAACGAAATGCTCCTTAATTCTTCAAGGTAGCTAATTTTTTTGCATATTTTCATTCAAATACGTTATTCCATTATAACTTCACGGCACACTGAAAAGCATCACATAAACCAGCTTACTGAACCGAAGATATATCTTATGAAAATTTAATTCCATAACATAGTTACTTGTTATTCTAAAAAACATTTTTAAAAATAAATTAAAATATCCAATTACTTGAAAATAGGGTGGCTTCCCAAAATGTAATAATTCTGCCACTGGAGGAAGACAAAGAACGAGTTCAACAAGGCAATGTACAAGTCTGTGTTAATGACTACATTGTGGCAATAAGGAAGGTGAAATGTAATTCTTTCTCTGCCATATTTTGTGGATTATTTTGTGTCCATGGATAGCAATTCAAAGACCCTATTTTGGGTGACTCAGTCCCTTCTTGGTAATAGAGGAATCAGAGGAACACTTGTAGGGTTATTGGTAAAGTCGTCTATCAGTATGAAGTTGAATATCATTCCTATGGAATACAAAATTATTTAAGAGCTTTTATTTGCTTAGACCTGCTACAAAGGTGATCGGGGTGGGGGGTGGGGGTGGGGGTAATATCAGTTGCAGGAGTTCACACTAAATCTGCAAGACAAGCTACAAAGATTAAAAGCATCAAATATGCTATTTGGTAAATTCTAATTACTTATTTTCTTTTTTAGAAAGTTGTTATGAATAACTCTCTACATATGTCTTTCACCTTATTTCAAAACTGAAAATACTTGTTTGCTTTAAGCCAATTTGTTTCTGTAAAGATCTGTAGATTTACTCCTTTGGAGCTACATTTACTCTTGCTTCCCTACTTTTGCTAGCACTATACGCTAGGAATCATAAAATATCTGAAATTATATTTTTGCACTGGACCTCACCATGTGATACCACAAAATCTCTAGAACACAGGTGTCACGTGACGTGTCGCGACTTTTTTTATATTGCCAGAGCTGGTGTGGGTCCGGCCTTCGTATGATGCAACCAGCCCCAGGCTGGCAGTTTGACACCCCTGCTCTAGAGCTTCATCCTTCTTGTAAAATCTATACATACTGTATATCATCTACATTTCATGGGAATAGCAATTGTTCATACAAAGGTTACTTTTCAGAGTATAGTAGGAAGACCATTTTCTTTGTTCCAATTTGGTCTGGTTCCAATTAAACCAGACCATATTAAATATCCATAAAAGTTCATTTCTCAGTGCTTATCTGAGAAACTAAATATAATAAACTTAAACCAGATTACAGTAATATTACTTCTAAATTACAGATTACAGTAATACTACTTCATTATTTTCTGAGCCAAACTGTAAGCAAAATAGGCAGATAGAATATCGAAACCATTCAGAAAACAGCAAGAATGTTATGCTGGATCTAGGCAGTTTGAACATAAAAGTAATCATTAATGAAAAGAAATATGTAGGATGAACAGCTCTGCTTTGACTCTGGTCCCAAAGACTTGAAATGTAACTAGTTCGTATTTGGATAAATATTTTTATAAAACAATTGTCTTGGTCTAGGCAAAGGTTATGTTTTTAAGTATTTGCTCTTCAGTATTTCATCTACCCTAATCCAAGTGATGCACAATATTTTTTTGGCTTTTAGAATATATCTGAAGTGTCACAAGGGTTTAGTCAATGATGCAATGATGCATGTCATATACTTTGGCAAAGCCAGAATTTTCAGTTTTTTATTGCTTTTCAAAGAGATGTGGAAGATGAGATTCTCAATTTTTAAAAAATTATTTTTACCAAACAGACCATAACATGGTAATGGCAAGACTCTTCTCTACAATTGTTAAGAAAACTGAATGTATGTGCCTAGGTCCATGTAGTCACTACGAGCTAAGCTCAATTTAAGGGCATCTTTGCCCTTTTCTTACAGTATTTTTCTTTACAATTTTTGCCTTTTCCCATTTCAAAACTTCAAGAAAGCACACATGTAATTTTCAACCATTATGGTAGAGGTAGATGCTGGAGCTTTATACAACAGTATAAAGTAGGATTTCAAAAGAATCATCTCTCAATTTTCCTTAATTTTCTTAAGTTTTGCCCTTAGCATTTTTTCTGAAGCAGAGGATAACTTAAAAAAACACTTTTAAGTACTCTCTGGGAGTTGTAGGGTGGTGATGGTTATGAATAATGCAAATATTCCAGCAAATATGAAGGAGAAACAGGGAGAAAATAGTTGGTCTCATGTGCATCATTCTTTCTTTCTTTTTTCAATTTACTGGGGTTTATATATGCTGCTCCAATCGAGCAGGAGTAGTGGAGTCTTAATGCATTAATTTAATGTTATATTTATATTTTTACATTTCTGAAATTCCATTACTGGAAATTAGTGATTTGTCACTAATTTTAACAAAGTATTTTTGGAACACATGCAGTGCAGATAATCCTCGAAGTATAACAGATCATTTAATGATCATTCAAAGTTACAACATATTGTCCAAAAACTATATGCGACCCTGTTTCAAAGTTACGAATTCTACAGAGGTCACCCAGTCATTCATCCTTATAAACGACCAGGTTGGTTCTGTAAAATTCTTAACTTTGCAGAGATGCTATAACACGCCTGTTTTTCTATTTCCCCCCCTTCCCCCATCTTGCCCTGCCAGATTTCCACTGGGCTTTGCCCCCACCCG